ATTACTACAGGTCAATAGTAAAACCGAATTAAATAACAGATGGTTATAAAAAGTATAACATAAAATATGTTTTATAAAAAAAACCAATTTATTTCATATAACTTGTAGCAAATATTAGAAATGTATTTTTACAATAGGTCCTACAAGTTAAGCATCTGCAATTGTCACTTCAACTTCAACTCCCGGTTCAATATTGATAGAAGTTATCTGTTTGACAATTTCAGATGGAGAATGAAGATCTATAACTCTTTTATGAATTCTCATTTGAAAACGATCCCACGTTTTAGACCCTTCTCCACAAGGAGTTTTTCTTGTTGTGATACGTAAAATCTAAACAATATCAAATCGTATTGGATATTTGAAATGAGTTCGAGTTAAAAATCGAGTTTTTATGAAAATTGTCATGTGAGATGGTGTCACAGGCTTACCTTGGTGGGCATTCTAACGGGTCCCTTAACTTTTAAACGTTGTTTTTTAGCACCGTTAATTAAATCGGTGCAAACCTTTTCTAAACTTCTTACATTTCGAGATGTTAATGTAATTCTTATCCTGTGAATTACAGCGGCTTCTACTGTGGGCTTTTCGGGGTCCTTAAAGGTAGACTGTAACCAAAGCACATGTCGTCATATATTTAACCATAAAAAAACAACGTGTACGTTTCTCATTAGCACGCTCAACAATATAATAAATGAATAATAATATTTACCATATTAAAAATTACTATCCCTGGTCGAGATAATCAACTAGAAGAAAAATTGATCAGCGCTGAACCAGACAACCACAAAACAATCACGTTTCCATTCGGATAGAACGGATACAATTATGAGACGACTCGTTTATGCTAGTGCCACGACCGCAGTCGGTCATATCCGGTTTAATTACTACGCTTTCCTTATCATTTTACTCTCTGATTGGATCCAACGACGTAAAACCTCTTTTTAGACAACACATTAAAAAAATTTAAACTTTTTTCATAATTAACTAACATTTAAATAAATAAATAAAAATAAATAAATAAAATCATAAAAAGAAACATCTATATTATTTTAAATATTTTTACTTTCTACCAAGATCAATAATATTTAACATACCTCTCTCAACTACCATCTAAAATAATAATAATAATAATAAAATAAAATTAAAATAAAATAAAATAAAAAAACACAGTAATTAAAAATTATTATTATCGAAGGGAATAATTCATCTCTTTTGAATTGTACATAAAAAAAAAAATAATAATAATATTGTAATGATTTCTTTTGAAAATAATTTTAAGGTTTAAAAAATTAGAATTTTTCTTAACCCTGTGCCACAAAACAAAAAAAAAACTGTATCAGTCTTTAAACTCATTTTTTTTATAGTTCACTGAAACAAAAAAAAAAAAAAAGAAAAAAATGAATTTTAATCTAATTGAAAAATATTACTAATAATAATAATAATATTGTGATAAAACTTAAAATTAAAAAAAACCAACATTTTCCATTTGTTTTCCTTTCTCTCTCTCTCTATTTTCCTCTCCAGGATT